AGCAGGAAAGCCAAATTCTCCCTGCCTTCGCAATTTTTTCCTGAAACCAGCCTCGGTGTCACTGTCACACTTCTGCAGGGTGTCCTTGCCAAAGGACACGGAGCTCTGAAGGCCCAAGATAAACCTAGGCCAAGCAGCCCCACACATCTGATGTTCACCTGAAACCACACTTGCTGTGCAGCAGGACTTGCCACTGCTGTGTGCCAGCTGTGGGCAGGGCAGGCAGGGTCACACATCCCCGCTCACCAGGAAACACCACGGACCAACACATTTGGTAGGTGTTGACCCAGGGGGAGGTGGTGGCTGTCCTTCTGCAAACACCTGAAGGATTGTGTCTTCATTTTCTCCCAAACCCCACAGCTTTTCCAGCACTCACATCTTACCTGTCATGCTTGTTCTCCTGTGCTGCTCGCAGCAGCTCCTGAATGTTCTTGGTGATCTGCTCAGTTTTCCGGATGACATCTTCTGTACTGGGCAAACTGGAGCTGGGGGCTGTGTCACCATCTTCAGGGATGGATCCCTCCCCCTGCCAAATGACACTCCTCTGCCTGCCCTTCCTGCCTGGCCTGTGAAGGAACAAAAGCAGAGGTTGGCCCTGCGGGACAGCACCAGCTGCTCACACAACCCCCACGCTGCTCACAGCACCTACCCTGTCTCCTCCAGCTCCAGGGGGGTGGTGGGGTTATCGTAGTCACTCTCGGACACGCTGCTCTGCTTCTCCAGCTTCGAGGCCTGCAACGAATCCAGACTTATTTCAAAGCTGTGCAGGAAAGACGAGTCCCAAGCTGTGTCAGTGCCACATCCCACACACACAGGCTTGTTCTCGAGCACACCCGTGCACCGTGGGAGGGAGAACCAAGTGAGGGAGGCCCGTGATAGAGCAGAGGCCAGATCAAGCACGAGGGTCTGACCACAGAGCAGAGGCTGAGCCAGGCGTGGGAAGCCCACCACAGAGTGGGAGACCTAAACGAGGGCTGAGGAAAGTCAAAATCAAGAGATGGAAATGATGGCAGGAGGCCCACAGTGCAGCAGAGGCCAAACTGGGGACGCGAGACCAAAGGGCACAGAGTAAAGATGAGCTGACAAGACCTGGAGCCCAGGTTGGAGGCTGAACTGGGGGTGAGAGACCAAAATAAGGAGAGTTGAGGCCCACTGAACACTTGAGACCAATGCAAGGTCGGGAGGCCAAATAAGTGAGTTGTGGGCTCTAGCAGAGCCTGGGATGAAAGGAGGGTGGGAGGCCTCACCGCCAGGAGCAGCAGGGCTCTGAAGAAGGGGTGTCAAAAGCAGGGTGGGAGGTCAGCCCCAAAGTGGAGATTGGAATGAGGGCAGGAGGCACACAGGGAAACGAAGGCCTGAGTAAGCATTGTGAGCACAGAAGGAAGTAGAGGCTGGACAAAGCATAGGAGACCCACTGGACAGTGGGAGGCTGATCCAACTGGGATGCTGAGCCCAGAGTAAAGGATGAATGAAGAGTGGGATACCAACATGAGCTTGGAGGCCAAACGCACAGCAGAAGCTGAACCCAGAGTGAAGGCCTGCAGCTGAGTGGGAGGCACTCAGTGGAGCAGAGGAGGAACTGAGCCTGTGACTCTGACCTCAGGATGGAGGCCCACCACAGAGCAGGAGGTCAAGCCTAGGTCGGGAGGCACACAAGGAAGGTGAGGTCAATGCCAGGAGCTGCAGTGCCACCTGTTCCCTGCCTCTGAGCACAGGTGCTTCCTCCCAGGTGCCATGGCAGAACACTCACCACTTCCTGCTCCCATACAGACCACTTCTGCACCTCCAAGTAGAGCACCCAATCCATGGGTGAGGATGATTTTCAGTATTTCTTCCCCCCTCTCGGAGGACTGCAGACACAAGTGAGCATACTTGCACCATGACAGCTCCAGAGTGCTCTCCCTACTGTCCCCTCTGTCAGCAGGCTTTGAGATAAGAGAGCTCAGCTTGCTGCTCTGACCTGGTTTAGCCTTCTTGGATAGTTTATGCCCAGGCAGTACAACACCCTGGGGTTTATGTCATGGATACCTGCTGTCAGGCCAATCTCTGCAGTTCACATGAATTTGCAGTCTGAAGCCCCTGAGGCAGATTCCCATCCTCAGCAAGGCCCCAGGATCACCACACATCGCCTGATCTAGTCTGAAAAATGGCAAAGCTCATCACAAGTGCCTCCTGCAGCACATCCATCAGTGTCACTCCAGATACAGATCATCCTCTGCATCAGCTCCTGCCTCAGCCACAGACACCACTCATGCCACAGGGTCCTTCGCAATCGCCAGTGACAAACCAGCCTTGGAGCTTCACAGAGGCTCTGAGGTCAAGATGAGGGATTCTCAAGTATTAGACTGTAAGGGGCACCTTTGATTTGCATCCCTGACCCATACACTTAGCAAATATTATTTCTACCACAAGAACAGACCAAAAATGTGACCAAGAATTCATTTTCACTAAGACCCAGTATGTGTGTTAAGCACTTATCTCATGCTAAACCCAACAGCTCTTCCTGCTGAAGCACCTTGAGCAGGAATATTGTTCAGCCATTTTAAAGTTACTTTGCACAGAAGGAAAAAAAGCATTTTTAAAAAAACACTTATCTCTCAGGATAGGGAGTAAAGATCAATTCTAAAAGTGACACATTTTGAAGATATGAAGCTGTTACATGTAGGGTCTAACCTTTGCCCTCAGGAGAGCAGTATAATTAGTGGCAAAGCTCTGCCCTATGATCAGATACACAAATGACAATAATGAATTACAAGGGTGGGATATTATGGAATCAGGAATACAGTAAAGTAGCAGAATCAGTGTCAAATAAAAAACAAACAAAACCTCTGCAAGTTTCTAATACTACACAGGACTGAATTCAGCTGCAACAAACCCAGATTTGCATTGGACTAAGTACTATCTTCCCATGGAAGTTTTATCATCCAGCTCTGCTTGCAAATCTCATACTTTCTCAGTTGATATGTTCAAACACTGTACAGCCAAATAAAATGGGGACAGAAGAATTTAAAAAGCAGGTTCTTTATCCTGGCAATAAGAGGCCAGAGTATGACCATTTAATGTTTCTTACCACGTTTTTTTTCCTGGAGTCAGAACTATGGCTAAGAAAAATCCTGAGAACAAAGTTTTGTAGTTCCTGATGGATCACCAGTCTAAGCTTCCTTTATACACCCTCAGTGTCTTTAATCTTGCCCTGAAAGGCCTCTTGCTAAAAGCAATTCCTGTGCACATTCCATCTCTGGTCTGTCAGGACCAGCAGAAAGCAGGCTAGCTGACATGAGGTGTATCGGGGGGGGGCACAGCTACCTGTTTGCATCCTAGAGAATCTCCTTCAAACCAACTCGTGGACATCTGTAAGATACCAGGTCAATCAGTACCACTGTGGATTGGTGCAAGCTGGCAGCCCCCAGAGAAAGCAGGCTTGAAAAGCCAGGACCAGCGAGCATCACAGGCCTCATGCAGTGCGTTTAGTCAGTAGGAAGAGTTATGTATTGACTTGGGAAACATCAGCCAGTTCCTGCCAAATTACTTTCCAAACAGCAACCAACTTGTCTGCTGCCTGTTCCCAGTGTTAGGAGGTGGAACAAGTGATCTGGAGTAACTGTGCATGGGGTTAAATGCTAAAGATTCCAGCTGTTGTGAAGTTAGAGAAAGGGAAGAATCCACAGCACGTGGCAGAAGAGACGGAGTGATGGAACACTGCTCCATGCAGGCGTGAGGCGAATCAGCACAGAGGGGGAGAAGACAGAGGCAGAGTGGCTTCCAGGGAGATGGCCACCTCCTCTGGGTAAAAGACCAAGTGGGAAGGTACTTAACCCTTCGTGTGCTTTCATCCCTTGACCAGGAAAGCGTGGAGGGGAAGGAAGGTAGAGATGAAGAGGAGGTCACAAACGCACTCCTCCCGATCTAAAAATGGGAAAGAGAAAAACACTCGGGAAAACCAAAAAAACAAAACACAAATTCTTAAATGAAATAAAGGAACATTCTTAAAACCATGGAGATGACATAAAGCAAGAATGATTTTGAAAATTTCACTAGGCCTGAGTGGACTTAATTCTCTCAAATACAATTGACTTCATGTTCATTGTAATATTGGTATTGCAGAGGTGCTAAATTCCACAGAGAACAAAATACATTCACCATCACCCCAAATTAACTCAATATAACACATTAATGCCTGAGGACAGCTGCTTCTACCCAAACTTCAAGCCAAATGACCAAAGGATCTATCCAAAGCACTGTCACATTTTGCCAACTACATACAAAAGATTTCTGACATTTCTTAATGCTAGAACTGTCTGTATGCCCATATGTCAATATAACTAAAAATGATCCAGACTTCATAGCCTGAAGTTCTTATTGATTTAATTCAAGTGAGAGAAAAACCCAGAATTCAAATTTCTGCACTGATTCCTGATGCACTCAACTGTCTGCTTTGGAATGGGCATGGAACATTTGCCCTGCCTCTTGTCAGGCAAAAAAAATAGCCCAAACACATGAACTTCCAAATATGTTTTAAAGAACTTTACTGTTTACCTCGAAGAAAACATGAGGTAGGGGGACCAGGAGGCAAACACATTGAAACAAATCCACAGATGTTAAATATGTACCTAAAAAGTACTGTCCTGTATTCCTGCCCTCAGGGCAATCTAAAAAGATTTTGTTTTATTTCAATAAGCACTAGAGTGTGTTGGGTCACTTATCTAAAGTGTGAACACATCCATGCAGAATCCTTGTGGGTAACACAAGAGTGCCTCTCCTGCTAGCCCATCCTACAGGAAAATACTAAATCAGAATAACTTGTTCAACTAACACATCTAAACCATCTTCAGCCTCCAGTTCCAAACTGGAATAAGAAACCGGTGGCCTAATGAAAAAGTTACCTTCAATTTTATTTTATTTTTGAAGGGTGGTTCTGAAGTTCCACAAATTGGCACATGCCTAGACAGAAATCCATGAACTTTACCTACCTTCCTGGAACACTATTTCCTCCCCTCTTCTAGTTTTCAAACAGCCATACATTGATACTTGGTATTTACACTGTGGTTAAAAGAAACAGCTGAGCAGAAGCCAAAAGCTCCAATTTACATATTCCAAAGTTGTTGTAGCCTTTACTTTTCAAAACACCCAGCTCCTGCAGACATGTTAATACAGCAAACATGAACAGTTCTCTCAGTTCCAATTCCCTCTGCAGTGGAGAGTGGAGCAGCTTTGGTAAATGAGCATAGTGGGAACAGACAGAAAAGCTGAACTCAAGAAGAAAAGCAGAAGCATCAGCAGTTTTACTTACATGTGCAGGGAAAGGCTGCAGCCTGGTTATGCTTTCTTCTGGATATGTGACCTCTCCCAGGGGGAGGTAGGGCTTCTGCCCTGATCCAGTCTCATACATGGACATGGGTCTGCTACCCCGTGCAGATGGTCGCCGCTTTAAAGAAGAATTGTTGGCAGGGTCTGTGTACTCAGAACCACTTTGGACCTGATACAGATTGGTTGTGGCCTGTCTTCTGAGGTTGGTATTTTCACTCTGCAGCGTTTGAAGCTGAAAGAAATGTTTAGCAGTGGGACTTTTTTTTTTTTTCTAACAGCAAGTGTCAAAACCAAACTGACTGCACATCACAGGCTTGTCAGCCATACTAGTCAATCCAGTTACTAGTAGGTGGGGATTGATTTCTTTTTCAAAATCTACTCGACTTGCTTAGTATAAGCATAAAAACATCAATGTTTCAGGTCTGGAAATATTCATGTGCCGGTTTCTTGACTGTTTCCTGGGCTGGAAGCTACATTAGAGCTTCAAACTGGCTGTTGGCACAAACACACAATCCCTTTCTTCCAGCCTGGCTGTGCTGGCACATGGATCGTGCAGTGGAGCGAGGCAGTGGGGGGAGGACTGCCAACAACACAGGTCTTCAGGCAGTGTCACCCGTTGCAGCAGTCAATATGAGACCTTGGAAGAGGATTTTAACCTATGGCCTATGAGTGCTGAAAATGCCAAAACTACAGCACAGACACCAGAGGCAGTGCAAAGGAAACCAGAGCTTGCTCTGCAAAGCAAGGAGAGAGTTCAGCTTGTGAAAATCAAGTATCAGCTACTGCTTTCTAAGAAGCCAACAAGAAATTATTTTAAAGCTTTTTATTACTATGTGTTTGATGGAGAGTAAAAATGCAACAACCAATTTTTTTTTTTGTGGAGTTACTTGCAGTAAGTTTGCTATATTAACACATCATAAAGAAAAGATATAAAAAAGGCAATGTCAGCAATTCTCTAATAATAATTGAGTATAATATTTCAAACAGCTGATGGCCTGTTAAACAAGAAATTGCTTATTTACTACTTGCATCATAGGAAACTGCAAGAACATTATCAAAAAACCAGCCTGGAGCACTTCCCAGAACCCTAAATTGAATGTGCAGACTTCTATGAAGATCATTTATGCTTTTTCTCCCCACTTGCTGTGTTCTCTGCAGTAAGATGCATCGAGTCTTAAGATCTGCTGATCACCCAGGAGCCCAGCTATGCTTTTACAGTTTGACAGCAGAGGCAATTAAATAGGTCAACTTAGAGCCTCTCTCTTCCCAACTTATTCCACAGTTTATAAATGTGCCTTTGGTGCAGTTTTAATCCACAGCTCATGACAACTCAGACCGAACTCATAAGCACCTATAAACACCTAATAAATTCTACAAGCATAAAAAACAACTTTTTCCTTTAGAATGCCCCTTAAAGTAACAGAGCTGTTTTAATTCAGGAAGAATCTACTCCTTCATCACATGCAGCTTTGCCTCATCTTTAATTAGTATCTTTTGCTTAGTAATTGCCACGCAAAAGATTAGATACACAGCTGGCTAACAAGGTGATACATAAAGCAGATTGATTTGTTTATGACATTCTAAGCCCTTGCTTAGAAAACAAACAAAAAGAAACAAACAATAAAAGATCTCTTGAACGACAACTCTTGCTCGAGAACTGCTGGAACAGCACGAACCTGGTGGTGTCTTGCCCCAAATAACCCAGCAGAGAATTCCTACCTTGTCCTGATGTTCCCAGTGGCTCATAGCTAGGACAGCAGGTGCCCCCTGCTCCCCCCTGCACTCTGCAGTGCCACAGCTGAATGAACTGTTCCCCAGTCCAGAGCCACTGAGCACTGAGTTTAAGCAGCCCCTCAGATAAATGCATCCTCAGAACACATGGTTAGTGCAACTCCTCCCTAAGGAGCAAGCCCTGCCTGTGCCACCTTTCAAAACAAGTCCAAGGGCAGCACAGCAACCATCTCTCTCTTGCTTCACCACATAAATATACTGAAACCTCATTAATTCATAGGGCCTAAAGATTTTTTTAACCCTAAATAGACTATATCTGTTTAAAGAAACTCAATATAAGAGGAAAAGTCAAGTCAATTGATGCAGAAAAATGCTTAACCAGCAGAAGCTGTTAGAAGACCAAGGAAACACCCCACGATCTCTCAGGTTCCTCTCAGTATTCAGTGTTCCAATAGATGTGAAAGGCTGAACACAGCTGTGACAGAAGGATAGAACTGAGCAGACAAGACTGTATCTGCTCAATCAGTTTGGCCTCAGATGCAAAGGGCTCAACAGTTCCCACCACTCTCCAAAGCATCAGCCTCTTTGCCCCAAAACAGCAGGGAAGAAGCTCTCAGTACAGTTTACCCCCTGCAGGAGCATAGCTGGAACACCCTTCTCTACAGGGAGACCTTCCTGCAGCATGTGCTGCCAGCCTTGCAGCACTGTCATTCTTTGGAAAACAGGATTTGTAACACTAGTGAAAGGAATTACTTTGAGGAAGCAGCCAGTCCTTTCTAGGCTAGCATGACAGACAGGAGAGTGAACTCCATACAGATACAAATTCTCCTTTACCCCACAAAAATCTCTGTTTACCAGACCACTGGAAATGCATTCAGAAAATGGTTTATTTGTCTATATAAAAATTAGAAGGTCTGGCTTCCAAACTGGGGTTTTGGAGCTTCAAATTCAGAATTTTACAAAATAGTCTCATCTGATTCCAAAGCAGCTCCCTTTTAAAATATGATTTCTAACTATCCTAATACTGGGTTATTTCATCTTCAGTTTCAGCAGTTTTATTCTGGTCAACTTAAAACATATCAAAAAATGAGAGGGTCTCACTCTTGTGCTTTTTACCTTTTTCTGCATGATCCTCAGCTCATCGCTCAGGTTGATGTTCACCTTCATTAACTGCTGGATCTTTACCTCAGAAGCCACCAGAGCATTTTTAACTTGCATATATTCTTGGGCTGTCACTGGTCCATCTGACAAGTCTGAATCCAGGCTCTATAAACAGCAAGAGAACAACACTTGCAGCCTCGAGAAACAGACTGCCAAACCAGACAGAGAGACTGTGACAGCTTTTCATGTACTTACTTTAAAGGAACTGTGGTTCAAATTAGTAAGATCCATTCATTAAAAAAATGTAGTACAATACAAAAGAAATATGCTGTCAATCAACTCCTAGCTCTTCTATGCACAAAACCGCTTATCTCAGCATTTTGGTCACACAATACACCTCCACATGGAATTTTTTTTTATAATAACCAATAAAGAACTGGAAAATCGTAATAAATATCCAGAGCATGTTATGAGGGAAGATTAAACTACAACTACTAGGTTTATTGCCCCTTTTTACCATTATTTTCAGGAATGGATTAAAACACTCTGTGACTATTGGTCTGCTGTAAATATTTCTTCAGTAGGAAGCACTAAATGTTTGTGAAATACCACAGAATTATGGATCAAGAGTGTTTTGGTAGATTCCATTATTTCATCTGTGCAAGTAGATCTAGATCTAAACTCTAGACATGCACAGGGGCACAAACTTTTCTAGAGGTGCATTTTATTTACAGGCATGATTCTGAAATGAATTTGAAAATTAATTAAAATATTCATTTTCTGATCATTTAGTCTCGTTAAATCCCCTCACGATGGGAAAGATCCACTACAAATCACCTTTATGAATAAAATGTTGTGTGTATATAAGTATTTCAAACCTACCTTCTGTCTGTTTGATTTAGCTGCAATTGCTTCCAGATCTGTATCTTCATCTGAAGCAACACTATCATAATCAGGCTGGTCATTATCCTGACTTTCACTGCTATGTTGATTGCTGATTGATTTGAGTATCAGTTCCACATTTTCTGTAGATCAACACACACCATTTAAGAATATACTAAGAATTTTGGAGAAGACATGAAAAGGCATGTTTAAAAAAAAATCAGAAAAGATGTGCAAAGGGACAATACACATCCTGCCATAATGAGGTGTCTTTTGAGTTGCCCAGTTCAAAACACTGAATTTAGATCCACCCAACAGACATGGATTACTGCTGTTCAAAACATCCAAGTTTTATGTTTTTATCTTTTAGTTTCTTGTAAGTTAAGGTAAGTGGGGAGACTCATGCTTTAGCAGCTTAATGGCATTCACATGAGGGAAAAACCCCTAAACAAAACAGACTGCATTGGAAAAATGGATACCATAATTCACATGAAAAATAAAGGCAAAAATTAGAAGCTACAACATTTTTTTGTGTTTTGTCTCCTAGAAGGACAACTAGTGTTCAGTTGTGTCATACCATCATGGCTAGAACTATAGTTGTTGGCAGAAGTGTTTGTATTCTTTGCTACCTATGGTGCTGAAGAAATACAGAAAGCAAATATTTTAGGTCAAATTGACAATAATCTCAAGAGCATCTAAATCACAGCAGAGTCCTGCACATACAGAGCAGCCAGGAGAGCCAGCGTCTAACCCACTGCCATTAGCTCAGCTGCCAATCAAAACAAGCATGCCTCTGAAACTGGACTGCACTTTTCTGGAAAATGTAACCAAGTTCCTACTGAAGAATTGCATCTAGAAGAGCTGACAACCAGAAGCACACTCACCTTTTGAGCCAGCAAGAGGATTCCCCTGTTGTCTTCGTTTGGCATCACTTAAAATGTCTATAACAAGCGTAGCGAACTCGTGGGCATTAAATCGAGCCAGTTTCTGCCTTCCCTAAATTACAGAATAATGCAGAAAAAAAATTAAGTACCTCATGTATTAGATGAACAGCAGAGCTCCCAGGCAAAACTACAGCACTTACAGCAAGCTGATTGTTCAACTACATTTATTGCAAAAAGCATTATTTAAATTATCCAGCTTCACACTCCAGGGCAACAAAAATGTGAAACTATTTTAACCTCTTCACAAGCAGATGCAGCTCTCTTCCTACAATGAAACAATATTACCTGGCCTATTAAATAAAAATAGTGGTACAGTATTAGGGAGATTGCATACCTGATTCCTGGTTGAGGAATATTCAGGATTTACAGGAAGAAAAGGGACCACTGTGGTCTCTGTCACCAGTGTGCTATGATTCTGAGTAGCAAGCCAAACTGATCAAGGAAGAAAAAAAACCAAAAGGGAGTTAATAACCTTCTTACACTGCTTGACAGTGTTTCTTGTCAAAAAATAAAAGACCACAATTTCCAACACAAACACAATCCATTCAAAGGAAGGCTTCTTTCCCCAGAGGATTCTCTACTTTGAAAAAACCACAAGGTTTTTGCAATTAGCGTCACCTCCAGACAAAGAAACCACCATTATCAGTCATTACTGAAGACAAAAGTACTTTAAATAGAACATCTGCTTGCAGGAACCTCTTGTGTGTAATGTCACAACTCAAATTTATTTTATCCAGATTCCAGAAAGCTTCATTCACCTGCATCTGTTTCCCTTCTGTCAACTTCATCATACACATCCATGGCAAGTTCTTCAAACAAGTGGTTGCTCAGCTAAGGGAGGAAGAGGAAAATCATCGTTTGAGAACACATGAAACTACTCAGACCTCTGTAACACAGAAACACAAGAGCCCAGGGTTTTAAGGACCTTAACTGAGGAGAGAGACCTAGAGATACTACCCCAAACAACCCCAGCTAATATTTCTTCTCCCTAATGGGTTTGTCACCTTCTCTGCTCCTCCACTTCTGCCTATTTTCATGTTTTTCCCCAAACTTCTAACTTGCTACAGAGGTGACATTTATTTATGCAGGAATTAACAGCAGCTGAAACCAGCCTGAAAGATGAAGTGCAGAGTTTGCCTCATGTGTCACACAGCACACTGGAAATTTTACTTACAGACTGAAGCTTCTTCTTAGCTGCTTTTGCAAGTTCTGATATATCTAGACTGCTAAGAAAACAAAAAAGTGATCATTACATCTACAGCATTTAATAGCTCGTTTAAACACAAATTCTACATTTTAATAATTTGATTATTAAAATGTCACTTTTATTTGAAACTCGTTAACATTTTAATATTTTTAATACAGTTTTTAACACATTGATCTTACTAACATTGCTAATATACCAATTACTACATTCTTAAACTTTTCTAAACACTATTGAATTTAAAACAAAATAATCACAATAAGTCTTTGGAATGTGAATACCCACATTTGCTCAGCTCAAAGAGCAGTCAAGCTGTAGTGCAACCAGCCCTCTATCCAAAAGCTAAACGTAGCATGTCTAAAAACATTACAGATGTTAACACTGAGTATTTTACCACCAACAACATAGTTTCTGTAATTTTTATTAGTTTTCCATAGAATTTTGCAAGCAGTAAGTTAACAACAGTTTACTCACAGCCGTCTTATTCCCAATTGCAGAGCAGCAAGAGAAAAACAGGAACTTAGGATTAATACTTGATCTGGTTTAGACAAATATCATTTCACTGGTTGTCACCAAAAGTTAACAACACTCACATCATTCAAAGTGTACATATTTTCAGAGAAAAAAGTTGTTCTTCTTGCAAATATTAGTTTCAAAATGCTGCATCAGGAAACTAACTTAATAGGTCCTTACATGATTTACAAAATCTGTTTCCCAGGAATCCCCACTTGTGTTCCCTCAATGTGACTGTCTCACCTTCCCCCTGCATTTTAACAAATACAGGAAACTTCTATCATTTTCTGACTTTAAGTGCCAATATCTCTTCTAGAAAATAAAAAAGCTTCCAAGATCAATGAAGGCCCACATTAAAAAGTAAGAATGTCAACAAGTGCAAAAGCTGTTACAGAAAGGAAAGTGAACTTAGTAATTAGGGTTTTTTATTTTGATGTTCTCAGACATGCAAGAGAAGCAGCAACTTACCTGTCTGCCATCTGAGGTATAACAAAGTGCTGCCCATTCTTATGCTCTAGAGTTGAAAAACAAACTGCACTTTAGTAGGTTATTACTGGACTGTGGTTTTCAACCCTGTCAGGAGTTAGAGCCTGGTGTTCAGTCTTACTAAAATACACAGTAATGAGAAACCCAAGAGAACATGCAACAGGCAAACACAGAATAATTTATCTTGCATGTAATTACTCAATTTCCAATTACAGGAAACTCGTAAGTCTTAAAAGAAGGTTCCTCCCACAATTTCCTGCAGTTATCAAAGGTTCTAATTAAATTTCCATTTAGAATTAAAACTCGATTAAAAAAAATTAAGTTCTAACAGAGATACCTTTATGATACCTAATGGCTAAACATTTTAAAGTGTACTTGTGTTTGAAAGGTCCCCACTTCATTGAAAACTCCCCTGCTTTAGCATTTCAATGAGAAGAAACTTCTTACTAGAATTTCTACAATACCTCCTGCAGACTATTCAAAACTCACAAGATCAACATTGTCCCTGCAATTCACCCTCTGAAGTTAAACCATACTCAGCTGATCTTATATGTAGGTTTCTCCCCGCTTTCTGGCATATTCCACACATATTTGTGGAAAAACAGAAAGGAAATTCATTGCTAATTCAGGTATACTTCAAATCCTGCAGTTTTATCTGAATTTTAAATGTGTTATCACTAATCTTCCATTTTATACTCTCTTTAGTTCTTCCTGGATGATTCAAGTAACATTAGACTATCTGAAATGCATATAAAAGGTGTAGTGACACTGACCAAACATTACATACTACAACTCGAAACATCCTATAATTACACTGAAAGATCTCAGAGCATAGGTTTGTCCTACTCACCTGGTTTCCTGCCACAGAGATAGAAAGCCAGCCTGTCTGTGAGTTCATACTGAATTTCCACCAGGCGCTCTGCCAGCTCATGGTGCCCACCTTGCCTGGGTCAGACACACACACACTTACATTAGTTACTCACTTTTAGACATACAAAAATCAATAAATGGTCAGAGAAACAGATTTAGAACAAACTACTGTTCAACACTGCACATCTGAGTGTATTAACAGAGCACAGACTCACAGCAGGACTTTCAACAATACGTTCCAGTGGACAAAAACTATAGATAAACTTGTATGAACTCCCCAAAAACTCTGAACCTTTGCCTGCCCCTGCTGTAGAAAAAAACCCAGATTCTATAGGTGATTTGGAATACTTTCTTAACAATTTCCTGAGCTCATGCAGCAAACTCACTGACCTTCACTTTTGATTAATAGCATTGAGAAATAGAAATATTCTGGTATGCTGTGCTCTGCAACCAAGTGAACTTAATCAAGTGTTCAGATTCCATGAATAGCCTCACTTAAAAAGCCATCAAAGCAATGAGGGTGTTTTATTTACATATGTGCAGCTTCCAGCTGTCCACTAATGTCCAATTTTGCATAGAAACACCCAAGAAAACCTTCAGTGTTGTGCTGCAAGTCTCGCAGTGCCTCATTACTGCCCAAGTGATCAGCAAAGACATCCCTGTTTAATCTCTCTTGACATGAGCAGTGTCTGCCCTTGGGAAGCCTGCAGCCTTTCTAAAGGCAGGTCTTCCTGAGGGTGCAGCCCTGCACTGGATGCTCCCAACAGTTAACTGCCATGGAAAAGCCTGGCTGAACCCCTTATCCCAGACCCATCTGTGCAGTCCTTTCCTACAGCAATTCCCTAGTTAATCCACACTCCTGGAGCTACTCAGCTTGCTGAACTTGCAGAAACTCTTCTCCTCAGATTACTTCTCCCTGAGCTGCTAGATCAGCACAGCCTGTTTCACTGGGATGAGAATTTCTCTCTCAAACACCCAGGAGAACACAGGCTATGAAATGATGACAACGCTTATTCACCCTCTTTCTGCATTCCCTCTTTCTGGAAAAAAAAACAACTTCATAGTATTTAACAGCAAAATATTTTCAGTTAATATATAAGAGCATCACTTATGTCAGAGCCTCCTACCTTGCATAGTCAACTGGAGTTTTCCCATTGGAATCTTGTGTGCCAGGATCAGCACCATAAACTGCCAATAATTCCGCCTGTAAAGTCTGTCCCGCCTTGGCAGCAACGTGGAGCGGGGTGTTCCCTTTCTCCTGCAAGTCATGGACAAAAACAGCTACTCCATCAACAGGCCAGAGCAGAAGACTGAAATACCATGTGTGCCACTGAAATCAGCATGTTACTAACTGTAAGGACTGGTTGTATATCAAAATAAGGAAAGAAGTGCTCGTACAGGATGGAAGAAGTTGGCCTGAGCTCCCAAGGAGAGCAGCCGCAGGCACGTCTCCAGGTTCCCCGTCCTGACACTGGAATGGAGTTGCTGAAAAAGAAGCAGAATTGTCCTAAATACAGCAGCAATAACTGTGATTCAGCACGTGGTGTTTTCCAGCCATGCTTTTAGAAACAGATAAGCAAGAATTCTTGCTACAGCTCTTTTGTGTAAACGTCTTTCTCCAGCCCCACCTGAACTGATGCCCCCCATTCACCCTCATCACCCATATGCTTTGCAAAAAAAAAGTGGCTTCAAGATGAAGCTCCTTTACATCACAGTGCTGAAGAACAGCAATGGTTCTCTCCAGCCAAAAGCAACTATTTGACTTCAGCCCCACACAAGATGCAGCCCCTGCAGACTGACCTTGCTGAGGTCTTTGGCAGTAACACTGTCATCCTCACGGCACGGCAGGCGATGCACAAACGCCAACATCTGGTATTTAGCTCTAATGAATTCTGCCTTATTGGGGCTGCAAAGAGAAACCCAGGCAACAGAAGGGATAGAAAATAAATATTAGTGCTTTCACAATAATACAAATGCTCCAGAAAAAGGAAAACTGACAAGTGAAGACTGCATGCATGCTACTAGCAGAAAAATATTTTCACTAAAAAAAATAACAACCCAGTGCAGATTGTCCAACTGCTTTTGTTAACCACTAAAATATCTGCAGACTCTAGGGTGTAGTGTGTATTTCTTAGAAGTAAACATTGAATTTAAAATTAGTCCAACTTGAGACTGACACTGGCAATATGCAGTGATTTACATTTTTAAATGAAGCACCATATTGAGTGACAGAAATCTCTCAGTTTTTTTTCATTCATCAACCAAACCCAAGCTCATTAGCAGCACGCAATTAACTGAAGCCCATGGCATGAGAAGTAAAAGTCTTTTGATTCAAGTACAAGACCCTCACTATTCCAAGCTAGTGGTCAAGAGTCAATAGTTCAGAGAATTCAAGCAATGTATTTCCATTTCTGCATATTTTAAAAAAAATTAATCATTGGACAACTAAAAAGTAAAATAAAAATGAGTGAACAAATAACTAGTTTCCTCCTGTTCTCCTCCAGCAACAAAATATCCCCAGGTTCCCATGGATATTTTGCTGCCTGTCACTTCTGAATAAAATAACCACACTTGTACAAGAATAAAAGCTCTGTAGTTTCCCACTTACTGCACTTTATCCTGTGGGCTTGCCTTGCGCCTTCCGCTCATAACAGAGGCAGGGTCCAGCAAGGAATGTTCCCATATGGAGTTAGCACCATTATTGTACAGTGTTTCAACCATCTGAAATCCAAACCATACACAAATAGGCAGTAAAGAAATGTTGCTGCTACCTGCACAGACTGACTAACCAAATAATCATTACTTTCCAATTGTTATCTAATTATTGACTAGTCATTATTTTCAAGCAGACAGCAGGGCTACAGAGATTCATATTCTGTGTGCCAGCATCCATAACCCACTGGGCTATCAGGACCAGGCACATGCCTAAACCTAGCAGGTTTTTATGTGGAATGTACTAAGAACCCCTCTAAAATTCTCTAGGCTTCCCAACTGCAGCCCTGCTGAAGAGAGAGGTTTGCTGTGTTTGTGGCAGATGCATTGCAGAAGTCTGAAAGAAAAGCTGAAGATGACCTTCCAAAACAAAGATACCTAGTTAAAAAAGCATAGACAGTTGTGATGTTGGTGGCCCATCATGGTGAAACAGGAGAAATACAAGGAAACTAACTTAGAAAAAGAAAGCTTAAAAGAACAGCCCCTCTCAAACAAAGGCTTTGTGATAGAAATTCAATTTAACATGTTTTAAAAATGAATATATCACGTTTTAATGATGGGAGAGACAGTTCTCTGTTTCACCTGCAGCAGTGTTGGAGGCCATGTGGTATGCTTGAGATGCCTCACTTGAGAGATGTGACGGCCCAGGCTCCGGTGGACGCTGCAGCACTCGTCACAGATCAGGATCCCGCGGTTTATAGACGCCCAACAGGGATCTGGAAAAGAATTCCTGAGTTACAACACAGAAGGCAACGTGACCTCATACTTCAGACAGTCTCTCCAATGAAGAGCCCTTCCTCTAACCTTAGCTTTGCTGCTCAGCCATCAAATGAGCTTGTACATGTGGGGAAGTAACAGCAACCTAGACTTTAGCTCTGTATTATTACAATGTTTTTTAGTTTCCACATTAAATAGTAAAAACATTCAAAAGTGTCACAGGAAAAAAAAAAAAAAAGAGAAGGATACACATGTCAAGTTAAAGACTCAGTAAAGTAAGAAATTGTCAAGCAAATTAACTTAAATTCTGATCAGACCTAAATTGAGGCCACTTTATAAGCAAACCAGATGGACAGCTCAGGGAAGGTGAAGAAGTAATAAATAATATATACTGGCCATTATGTATCTTCACACATCAAAAACTATAACATCGAGTAGGAATGTTATGTTAGATTGAAACTGAATATATGCACGTTGAAGGGAGGTCCCTCTGCTGCTCTTGGCTCAGTCTTCAGAAGAAACTCCAGTTTTCTGGCAGTAACATGTGAAACTCAGTGTATCCAGAACTCTGTAGTAACTGAGTAGCAAGACAGGACTTCAGATCCAGCACATACCAGAGAAAGAAAAAGGAAATCAAGATCTCTTCTACTTTAGCAAATCCTTAATTTCAAATCCAGACATGAACTGGAGGCTAAATAACTGAGTGCAACACAAGCCTCATGTCTGAGAGAGCTTCAGCATCCTGTCAGAATACATCTAAGCAATTGTCCATCATAAAAAAGTCTTCTCTGACCCATGCAACAAAGTCACTGAATCCCTGAAACATGAGATCTGATCACAGTTGTGGTTTTTAAGCAGAGATGATGTTGTGTGTGTGCTGGAGGCAACACAGGCAAACCTGTCCAAGCCATGAGGGATGGGAGCATCTCTTCACAGATGACACTCATCACAGCCCAGAGACAAATTAGAGCATTTGTTTTAAAAAAAAAAAACCCTAGCCTAATTTCAAAAGCAAATTAATAACAAACACACAACCTGCTTATTAATAATTCCATTATTTTAACAACTTTACTTTCTAAGAATGAAAAAAAACTAACAATGAAAGGAGGTGCATGATTAGTGCTAACCTGACAACCCAAGAGGCATCCTTCCAGATTAATGAGCCCTTCTCATTACTGACACTCTCATCACACTCATTCATAGCCTAATGGGCTTCTCTGGAAGCCACCACCCTTCTTGCTTCAGTCACTGGTCAAAGGCTGATGGTGAGCCTCACTGCTTTGACTAACAGTCACCAGCAGGTTTTTTTCTTTATCCCCACCTCAATCTCTCACTCAACCAGCTCCAAACACCAAACTGTTTAGCCATGATAAAGTCAGCTGTTGTTTATTTGGGTGTTTTGTAGCAGAAACAGGGCTTTAAAAATCTTCTGAAGAAAAAATCCTGAGGCCTTGCTTGTAGCTTCAGCTTACACATGCTACTTAAAAGAAATACCATTGATGAAAGAGTCCATGTTTCTCATCCCATGGGATGGAAAATGGAGAAGTAACAGTGTTACACGGTCTGAAGACACACAGAGAGAGTTTTCAAGTTATTGAAAAATGGGTGTTGCATGTTTAAACTGAATTTAATGAAGTGTCTTTGCTGGAATTTATTTGAATCACTTTTAGAAGAGATCCAATGATGGACACAGTCAAAATATGCCAAAGCCAATACCAGAATACAACAGGGGAGAAGGTAGAAAGTTAGGTCAGGTCTGTTTTCAGGAACTCGCCCATTGACTCAAAACAGGAAGTGTGTGATAAAGAGAAGCCTGAGCTCTGAGTGTGAACAGCAAACTCCTGCCTGGGAGTAGGAAGTGCACCAGAAAAGTGCACGTCAAATCACCTGCTGTGAAAGAGCTGCTCGTACCTCACAAAGAGCATCAGTGAGGTCCAAGGGGCAAGCACCAATTCCTGCAGCAGTCAGGCACCCTGTCCCTGCTGCACCTGACCTGGGTGAGAGGGCTGCAGTGCCCAGGTCTCCTGACAGCTACACCTGGAGCAGCTCCCAAACACCCCTCTGACAAATTCCCTCTGGTTTAAGTAAAAGATGGGTTTGATTTTGATATAAAAAAAAGATTAAGTTACAATTTTTTCATATATATATGGATAAGGCAGCAGAATCCTTCACCAAGACCAAGTAACTATCTGACAAGGCTCTAGTGTCACAACACAACAAAACAAAAGGCTGGCTTATAGGATTACCCTGGTAGTGATTCTGACTGCATAGTCCTGAGGAGCTTAATGAACACAAACACTGTAAAACAACTTTATCTCCGTGTCCTAACACCACTGATGTTTAAAAGCTTAGATATGATATCTTGCATGAGGTAGGGACAGCTGCCTACATAAGAGATGCAAGCTCTATTTATTGTGAAAACAAAATTCCATGAAGAGTAGCTCCCTGGGAGTTAATCTGGGATTTGTATTAATTTATTGCTCTTTAACAGAAGTCTCATTTAACAAAAGCTGTTAGCCTCTCTCCCACACCACACCTTCTGGCCAGGCTGCATTACAGAGCTTTAATTAATTTCAGTTTGTAGATAAGTAACTATACTGTCAGAACCAGCACAGAACACAACAACCACAGAACTCTGAGAAGGAACGAAAACAAACATACACAGTTGCTAAAAAAAAACAACCCATAAACTGGACAGTTTACATATTACAAAAGCAAAACTACAGATGGTGAGAAACAAGAGAAGCAACTGACTTTCTAAAAACAAGATTTGTCTCTGTAAGGTCCCACACTTACCTGCAGTGTGAAGATTACGTGGGTGCCAACACAGAGCGCCCGTTACTGACTGAGCATCTCTGACCCAACTCCACCTGACATCTCAGAACACCTTTCCTTGGATGCCTGGGACACCCACACCCCCCTCCGGCCGTGGGGCAACCTGTGCACTCAACAAACCCCTGTTTTCCCTCCCCTTGGCCCTCAGAGCCAGGATGTCTCCAAAGGCACCTTCATCCCCAGGACCGGCCACTTTTCAGCGGCCGGTTCGGTGACACAAAACGACACGCTGGAAGGAAGGCTCCTTCAAATCGAGCTTCCTCCTTTCGAAGCTGAGCAGCTCCAGAGCCCCTCACCGCCGGAGCGCGGCCGCCCCCCCGGGGCAGCCCGGCCCCC